TTATTCACTAAGGAAGCACAACTGAATTTACCAAGGCTGTATTTGTGCTCAATTTTTCAGAAACATATGTATTGGATTTTACCTGTATATGACTCTTTCCACAACAAGCAATGCTGAAAAGGTGAAAAATACAAAGAGAATTCCACTTGAATAAATACAAGTTTCCGGTATCTAGCATAGTTCCATACCCCCTCTAATTTTCCATTCTTTTACAGATGCAGAAGCAACAAATCTTGTTTCAATAAGAAATCCTCAACAGAAGCTTTCACATTCAGCTGTTAATCAACTTTTCAGGAAAGTGTCACTGCATAATACCTATAACAGAAAACTTCTATAATTTGATTTAAGATTCTTAGTGAAATTGGATTAGCTTTTCAATGCATGGTGTTTTTTATACTTCTACTTAAAAACTGTTACTAAAGGAGCTTTAAAAAGGTTAAGGCTCAGGGCAGGGATAAACAGTTGAGCCTATGTGGAGAACTCAAAGTCTATAGAGGTTAACCAGCTTCAAATCATCTGTGAATGATGATTTTCACAACTACCATACCAAGCCCCTCATCTCACGCATAGAGCCAAACCACGATCAGGCAGAAAACAACACATAGCTGTCTGCAGTTAGGTCCACCTATAATTAACTAGCACACTTCTATTTTATGGCCACTAAAGGTATACATACTAAAAGCAAAATATCCATCAACTAACAAAATTGAGGAGAGGGACGATCAGTTCGTTACTACAAAAAGCCTCTTTTTCTGATTATTTAGAAAAGCAATTTTCATTTATTAAGGAAGTAATTCTGAAAACTGCTATTGCTACCTCAAAAAATATATTAACGATATTCTTTGTCCCTTAAGAAAAGCTCACTACACATGTGAAAACTGCAGCAAAGTCACAGCAGGCTAGTCTCTCTGGGTAATGTGCTGTACAGGAATATGACCAACCTGAGCCCAAGTAAGGGCAACCCCTAGCTGTGTGCCTTAAAACACATAATTAATCTCTTCTGAATACCAGGTTTCTCACTGGTCCCATGGAGTAATAACATCTGTCTCACAGGACTGTTATGAAAGTTAAATGAGATGAGGCATATATCAATGTTTATCAGTACCAAGTTAGATTTTTTTCAAGTATTAGAAGCACATTCTTCTTCCCTCCCCACCTCTGAAAAGAGCACATATTTGCAATTAGGCTGCATTTTTTAAAGGATACTAACCTTTAATGTAATGTTAATCATTCATCTCCCTTCCACAACTGAAAAAAAGACTAGTAATCAAAGATAACTTTAAAAACGAGGGAACAGGGTAACAGGCCGCCTACACACTACTAAGGAAAGTACAGTTGACCTTTGTTGCCCAAAACCATCTTCTCCTTAGTTTTACATTTAACAACTGTCTCTTCATTCATCTCATAAAGATTCTGAGGGACCCTCTAAGTTCTGAAAAATGCTAAATTCATAAGGCACTAATAGAGAGAATTCCTACAGTCATGGAGCTGATGTAGAACTTCAAAAGATTCCCTTGGTACCCTATAGTGCTAAGAAAGTCAATAATTCGGCACATTTTTGTATCTAATGTTAAATCTGAAGGGACAACATGCATAAAATAATACTCCAGACAAATGTGAATATGATCACCCTACCCATGATATTACTTCCAAATAAAATGCATGCAAATGACCTTTTCCTTCAGAAGGAAAATAACTTTGTTCCTTTTTGGGAAGGAAGGAAGGAAGGAAGGAAGGAAGGAAGGAAGGAAGGAAGGAAGGAAGGAAGGAAGGAAGGGAGGAAGGCAGGGAGGGAGGGA